TATATCTATATCTATATCTATATCTATATCTATATCTATATCTATATCTATCTTTTTTGTTCTCTCTAGCCAAAATTCTTCTCAAGTCACAAGGATTTTATTTGGGTAGGGTATCAATATCATGTTTCTGTACCTATGTCTATGACAAATAATTTCTTTAAACTTTCTCAAAACTCAGCAAGCTCTTGTAATAAATACAAGTCTAAATGTTTTTTATCAAAATTAAATTTGAGTTCTGATATCAAAATTTTTAGTTTAAAGGATGAACACATTCAAAATATCTTACATTTTCTTGTTTTTTCTTCTGTATAATGGTAATTTCAATTCCTGATAACTGTGGTTAAACTATATATACTATATTTAGGCCGACTTTTATTTTAATAAAAACCTGGGAAATCTGACGTAAAATTTCTTTTGCTTTTTAACTGACACTCCAAACAAATAATAATAAAAAAAAAAAAACGTTTAGGTTTTTATAAAAAAAGAAAAAGACTAAAATTATAATATCAATATTATCTTAACTACATATGTATGCCCATTCTTGACAGCATTAGATATTTAAAACCCATGCCTATTTTTTATACTGAGTGTTTAAATAAGCAACATTTTACAGATGTGTGTGGACATGGAAATAAGTGTTTTGATTGCACTGGCTATATTTCAAATTGTAAGCCAGCGAAAAATCTTGTGTTCATAAAAAATAAAACAGCTGACGAGGGCAAAGTACAACCAATCGGGAATACAAGGCCGGACGAAACTCTGGATGAATGCATAGATCCTAAAATGAAAATAACTGGTAACTCTTCTTTATTAAGAACGCATCGTAAACAGTCGATGAAATAACATTTTTGGTATATCAGATACTTTATCAAATGCTGTGTGCTTCCGGGCCAAAGATAAAACATGTGGAATAGTAGGACCGAGTATCATTGTCTATAGAAGTTTGATCTGTTTTGAATGTGAATTGGCCTGCAATTGCGATATAGATTCAGGTGGTACCAGAGGGCAGGGAATATTTCTTGGAGTATTTGCAATTTTGAGTTTTGTTAGTATATTAAGAAATCCTATTCAGATTTATCGTCCATTTATAAACAGATTGTAAGCATTATGTTTGAGTTAAAGCAATACCTATACAGATACAGTAATAGATATGAGCTTACTGAAAATAAAATATTTATAAGCCCTCTGAAAAAACTGTACTCTAATGTGTTTTAATTGATATACAATGCGATGGTTTACTTCTTATTCCTGTTACGTGCCATCCAAATCTCAAAGTAATAATCGAGATTTTTCATGTGCAAAAGAGTTCCATCACTAATTTTTATATGTCTCATCCTAAGCAAATTTAATAAATTCGCACACACACAAACAGTTTGAATACGTTAAATGAACATTTATTAAATACAACTTGAAGAAAACGAAGACAGCGAGAAAAGCAAATAGAGATATTTTATCATAATCTAAAAAGTTATGTATGAATGAAATTAATTTGAATGAAAAAGTATATTTAGAGATATCGTTTGGCTTAGTGTAGTGCGGAATTTACTGATGATGTTGCCCAATCGTATTCAATCTTATTCAAAATCCAATCAACGCTTTCTTGATGCCACAATGTTTACTCATTCTCAAAGATATATATATATATATATATATATATATATATATAGAGCGTCGTAAAACGCCGCTGATTGCACAGAATTAAATTCAACTATACGATTCGAAGCATCGCAGTGTGCAGTACTCGCAGATACAGATACAGATACACCTACACCTACTCAATTGAATGGGCCGTCAATCCTCGACTGAGTTGAACGTGCTTATCTGGCATTTTGTTTGCGCTATCAACAGACCATCCAGCAGATCGCCGTCTATATAGTTAGTCCATATACGAGTACATATAATATTTTCAATACTTGTCGCACATTGCTTCTGCGTATTTTTATCACACAAACGAGCTAAGTGTATCTGTGTGTGTATGTGTGTGTATATTCACTGTTTGAAATAAATTGTATATAATTTTTATTAAAATTTCCGCTTAAGCATCTCCCCTTCTCTTTCCCTCCTATATATGTGTGAGGTTTTTAGTCGCCAGCTCTTTCTCTATGCTACGGAATTTTCTGAACTCTCAAGCATATTTCTCACACTGATCTAATGAATTAGTCTTGTCTTTTAGTTCCTGACATTTAAATATTTAAATGATATTAGACTTATACGCTATTTTTGTCTGTGAGCTTTAAGAATTTCGAGATTTTATGAAGTCGCCGGACTCATTGCTCAAATGTTGTTTTAATGATAGCCGAAGGTCTAACCATTTGTTTAATTATTTGAAAAAATATTTTATGTTGGTATCTTGAATATCTCAATAGTTAAGCTTAGGAAGTACATATCTAGTTTACCTAATTATTTAATTAAGAAAAGTACAACAAAGAACAAGTAAGAAAGCTGTAGTCAAGACTGATCGACTACGAGATTCTCTGAACCCTTCGAACAAATGATATTTCCGTAATAATTCGCACACACACACGCACATACACTGGCGAATGCGCTTGGGTTGCGCTGCAGTGTTGGCAATGTTATGAGAACTTAAATGTTGAATAATTTAATATCTAGACTTCTAATGTATGTACATTCCATTTAATGAAATAGCGAAATGGACATTTAAAAAAAAAATTTAAGTCTCTAGCTCTTATATGTTCTGAAATCGACGCGTTCAAGCATAAGGACAGACGGACGGACGGACAGACATTTTGACAAAACCATTATACCCTGATTTCCTATTTTCAATGGGTTTAAGGTTTAGTTTAAATAAACTAATTTACGTTGATATTCCTTCTCCAGAATCGAGCCGCTAAAGCATAATGGAATATCTGTGCATCTTTAATCAAACTAAGGATCCACAAATTGAAAAATAACTCTGAGTACAGCTCTCGATTATTCTAATAATTCTCCATAATTCTAGATTTTCCAGATTCCTCTGGTTTAATTTCAGATATCAGATTTACAAACTGAGCTATATAACAATAATCATATACTACTTTTCTCTTGAAAATGAAACATTAAAAATGATCCTCAATCTACCACGATATCACAATACCATATCTGCATAAAATGGCGAATATTAAGACGATTGATGAGCTCATCACTCTCTCAAAAGCCAAATTTATATTGAAAAAATCATATTCAACTCAAGATACAAGCTAATAGGGCTCTTGTCTTGCCCCCCTAGTTTCAAGATAGATAGTCACAACTAAAGGTTTCTCATCCATTTTCCTTTACCATCTAAATATATCAATCAATGTTTTAATTAAATTTAATGTAAATATGATATCTCAGCTGCACAGACATTAAATAAGTCTGAACTCTGTAAAAATAAAAATAAGCTAGCTTTAAGCAACATGTAATAATCTGGAAATGAAGCATATATTAAATTGAATAGAATACAACTTTTCTCATTTCTGATTAATTTTCATTCTCATGGTCTCGCTATTTCTCATTCAGTCCCGTTGCCTTTCTCTCGTAATTTTTGTGCAATTTCAGCCCACTTTTTTGCGATTGCTGAATATGAATGCACCTTTAACCAAAATCGGGCAGTAAGTTGAACCGCTCCTGTTCTTCAGTGCTCTAAATCTTTTGTGTTTTAAATTTTAAATTGAAATGCAAGTGAAGGGTAAATAAAAAGTGAGAAGATGCATTTGTACATACATACATATATATGTATGTATGAATGTATGTATGTATTTATGTATGAATGTATGTATGTATGTATAAATGTAAGTATGTATGTATGTATTTATGTATGTAGCACAGCTACACAATTCTCGCGAAATCCCTTCAATAAACGTTTATGGCTGCTGCTCAGGCGCATAATTCATACGAAACTCTTACAAATGATATTAGACACACGCACACACCTGAACGCGCTGATACCTCCATGACACCGTTAATCAGTGTACGCAGGCGCGGATGAAAGTGCTGAAGCAGCGATTAATGAACGAACATGCGACCTTCAGACTTGAGCATAAGGCACAAAAACAACAACAGCAGCAGCAGCAACAACAATAGTAGCAAGAAAATCAAACAGGTATAGGAAAAAATAAAAAAAATACATTTTCCCAAAAAATTGTAAAACCGGCACAAACCGGTGCTCAAATGCAACACTTGAAAACCAAGAAATATACAAGAGCGAAAGAGAGAGAGAGAGAGAGAGAGAGAGAGAGAGAGAGAGAGAGGGAGAACGAGGGAAGGAGAGAAATGAAAGAAAGCAGTTGAAACATATGCAACAGGTGAGCAGCAGCGCCAGAAGCGAGAGAGAGCGAGAGAGAGAGATAGAGCAACGGAATGCTCTCTCATGCTTGAGTTGATGCACGCTCTTTCTCTCTCTCTCTCTCGCTCTCACTCTCATACACACACGTGCATGCCGTGCTCATAGTCAGTTTAAGTCGGCCATACAACACTACAGCTCAGATTCGATAGTCAGTCCGTGTGACGGTCTCGTAGCCAACGGTCGGTCAGTCGCTCTGTCGC